CCAGTGAAGCAACGTCCTCCACAACTAGACTGAAGAACAAAAGGACAGCAACTTGTCTGTTCCTCTTCCCCCAATTCCCCAGCACTGTTCCCATCCCCAAATTCCCCAATAAAAATCTTTAAAAACAAACAAACAAACAAGCAAAAAAAACTCTCAGGAAAGCCAGTCTTCTCAGGTGAGAGTGTTAGCTCTTAATATACCAGCCTTTTCCCCTCACTTTCCTCTCCTAAACGTTGACCATAGTGAATGGGCTCTTGGTGCCTCAGCTCCTTTTCCCCGTAAAGATCTTCAGTTGATTTCTCATTACAAACCATGGTGGAACCCCAAATCCTTCATAAGGTCCACCATGGTCATCTGCAATATGATCTGGCCCTTACCTGTTTGTCTCCAAACTTATTCCAAGCCACTTGGTCCACTAAATTAATGATACCCTGATTCTCTGGTTCCAGCTAACTCTTCCTTGTTGGTACCAACAGGCCTTATGAGCTTTGTATATAATTTACCCTCCTTGCTTTACCCCTTTTGCTTCTCCTTAATCTAATTAACTTCACCCAGCTTTTAAATTTCAGTATGTTTTAAAATTTTAGCAAATGTTACCTCTTCGGAGAGGCTTCTCCTGACCACCCATTCTAAAGCAGGTCTCCCCTTTATTCTCTATTAGGATCCTGTGCATTTCCTTCATAGGAATTATTTGTATTACTTTGATGTTTCTCTGCCTCGCCCCATCCTTACCCACCAACTTAAGCCCCAGGAGGGAGAAGACCATGACATTTCATAAATCACAGTGTGGAAATAACTATATATTTTTTGCTTATTAAACTATAATGTTAATATATGGGAAATAAATTTTATAAGAGGAAATAAGACTTTAACCTTCAGACATTGTCTTAAATTCACGTTGACCTTCCCTATACTTGCTTTTAACTAGTTAATTTTAATCTCTGATAACAGTTCATTACCATGTCTGCAGAATATCTTGATAAAATGTGCTCATAATGCATAGAGTAAGACTTTTGTGAAAACTAAAGCATATCTAAATGGTGAAAACATTTTTAAAACTTTTTGTGGGTAAAATTTACATCCTGAAAAATAGACAGATCTTAAGTGTACACTTGAATGACTTTGATAAATATATCTACTTGCATAACCACTATCCCAATCAAAATATAGAAAATTTCCATCACCCCCCAAAAGTTCCCTTTGGCAACCACTGTTCTGATTTCTGGACCATTGATTAGCTTTGCTTCTTCTTAAGCTTCATTTAAATGGAATCACATTATATACTCTTTTGTATCTGTCTTTCACTTAAATTGTGTTTTTGAGATTTTTTTTCTGTGTGATTATATGTATTAGTTAATTCTTTTTTTGTTGCTGAATAGTATTCCATTGTATAAATTGATCATCATTTATTTATCCAGTCTTCTGTTGATGTACATTTAGGTTGTTTCAGTTTGGGGCTATTATGAATAAAACCGCTATAAACTTTCTTGTACAAGTCTTTTTGTGTGTTTGGACATGTGTTTTTACTTCCCTTGGTAAATACCTAGGAATGGAATTGCTGGGTTATAGGGAGGTTTATTTTCTTTTTCTTTCTTTTTTTAAAGATTTTTAAGATTTTTTAATCTTAAGATTTTATTGGGGAATTGGGGGAGGGAACAGCATTGGGGAATTGGGGAAGGGAAACAGACAAGTTGCTATCCTTTTGTTCTTCAGTCCAGTTGTGGGGGACATTGCTTCTCTGGCCCATGTTGGTATTCTGATCATTGCGCTCTTCCCTGCTGAGGCAGTTGCTCTCTGGCCATTGGATGGCTGCTCACGGTGGCTCACAGCAGCCCACTGCAGCCCCACTGTAGCCTACGGAGTCGCCGGTGACTCATGGCAGCTCAGCTCTAGGTCGAGCTTTTGTTCAGCATCTTAGCTGTAGAGGGCACAGCATTACTGGCCCTCATGTGGGATCCGGACTGGGGCCCTGCTGCTCAGAGCTTGCGTTCCTAAGCCAACTCTTAACCAGCAAGCCACTCGGCCCGGCTCAGGGAGGTTTATTTTCAACTTTATAAGAAATTACTACAAAAAAAAATGTATGAGATTTCCAGTTGTTGTACAACCTCACCAACATTTAGTATTGTCCGTCTTTTTAATTTTAGCTGTTCTAGTGGATTTATGCTAATCATTAATTTGCGTTTCTCTGATGACTAATAATGTTGAATACCTTTGTATGTGCTTTTGGTAGTTAATTGTCTTCTTAATTCTTTTGCCCTTTTCAAGTGTGTTCAAGTCCTGCACACTTTATATTGCCTGTATTTTGTTTATCTTTTTATTATTAATGTTTAGGAGTTCTTTCTCTATTTTAGATACAAGTCCTTTGTCAGATATTTATTTTGCAAATATTGTTTCCCAGTCTGTGTCTCCAGTGTTTGGATCTTCTGTAGTATATTTATTGTTTTGTTTTGTTTTTTCCAGATTAACAATTGGACCCATTACTTTAAATTTAGAGACATTTCACCTAAGTCCATATTTAAACATTTTATTTGAAAATGTAACTGACATACTATTTAGAAATGTTTATTTTTGTGGACATCCTATACAGTGTTATAATTTTTGCTTAAATAGTTGTCTTTTAAATAAAGAGAAGAAAATAAAAAATAGTCTTTCATATTTACCCCAGCTTAAAACAGATCACATTTTTTCCTTCTTCTGTGAATGTCTAGTAATTTTTTACTATATACTGGACATTGTGGGTTATACATTAAAGACACTCAGGATTCAGTTATCTTCATCTGAAGAATGTTACTTTTTGTTCTGGTTTCTAGGGGTCAGGAATTTGAAAAGGGCATATGCAGGATGATGTGTCTCTGCTCCATACATCTGGGGCCTCGCCAGGGAAGCCTTAAAGTCTGGGGATAATCCTGCAGCTGGTATAGCAATCAGCTAGCAGTGTCTACTCACAGATCTGGCAGTTGATGTTAGCAGTTGGCTGAGACCTCACCTGGAACTGTGGGCCAGAACACCTGTACATGGTCTCCTCACAGCATTGTGGCCTTGGATTTTTCACATAGCAGCTCACGACTCTAGTAGTAGTGTTCCAGAGAACCAGCTACAAGCTTCATTGTTTTCTATGATCTAGTCTTAGAAGTTGTGTAGCAGAGGTTACACAGCATCACTTCTACTTTATAGGTCAACCAGTCTTTATTGTTGGCCCAAATTCAAGGGGAGGGACATAGATCCACCTCTCAAAATTTGCAGACATGTTTCAAAACCACCGTGCTCATTTAGGAAACAGGAAGCTCCCTTTTGTGTCCTAGTACAGGCCTATGTACGTCTCAATAAATAGTCATTGAAATGCTGAATGTTTCTTCTTCACTATAGTAGATTCGGACCTAAAGTAAATCTGTGTTTAAAGCTTTATAAGAGGAGTAAGTATGTCACTTCTTAAAAACATTTCCTTAGATAGATTTTTCTTTTTTTGTCTTTTTATTTGTAGGATACAGTATTTAATGAAAAATCCATGCTTAAGGGGTGAAAATGGCAGGCTTCCTAGATAATTTCCGTTGGCCAGAATGTGAATGTATTGACTGGAGTGAGAGAAGAAATGCTGTGGCTTCTGTGGTAGCAGGTATATTGGTAAGTGACAAGGCCTGGCTGGGGACATCTGTGCCTCATCTTTTCCTTTGAACTGTGAATATCCGTTTAGAAGTATTTATTTCACTGGTTATGTTGTATAGATAATTTTAAGAGTTCTAGATACTGTTACTAAACAAAAACAAGGTAGGCCCTGGGTTCATTTGACTGTAAATTTGCTAAACTTACTATCTTTTCTTCAGTTCCAGTGATAACACAGTTATTATAGGAAGTAACATTTTAAAGTTAATGATACAATAGCTATAAGTTCTTTAAGATCTTTAGAGGCTCAGAATTTCATGTAACTAAACATTATTGTTGTGACTCATTGAAATTCAGGCTGTGTAGACAGCAGTAAGGACCTTAGGTTGCATTAGAACGGATGCCCTGCAGTGCCCCAGGGAAGAGATGCCACCTTCATTTCCCCAGCTGGGGAAGTGAGAGGAAGACATTTGTGGAGAAAACTATTGCTTAATTTTATTCCCCCAATTTTTTTCTTTCTTAATTTTTTGTTATTAAAAATGTCCATCATAGAAACAAAAATAGGGAGAATGGTTTAAAGAGCCCCTCCCCCTCGTGTCCCCTGTACCTAAAAAAAAAAAAATCAAATCATGACCAACCTTGCTTTAAAGCACCTCAACACCCAGGCTTGCCCCCACTGCGTTTTTTGAAGCAAATTTCAGTAGCTGTTACATTTTAAAAATTCATCTCTTTTAGTATATAGTTTTATACCTGAAATCCAATAGAAAAAAATAAATAAAGCAGAGCAGAACTAAAGATAGTTGTGGAACAGTCCTCTTAGATGTTTCTAAGTTTTCCTTGTTCTTTATGG